TTGTGGAGGCCCACTGGGCTTCATGGCACAATACACCCATGGGAATACAATCAGCTGGGCCCAGAGGCTCTCGATCTCCAGTGTGCAGTTCAGCCCTTTCATTGACAGCTTGGCTCCACTCAGGCAAGCCCAGACCAGGACAGCTGTCCAGTGCAGACTAGACCAGGCCAGCTCAACTCTGCCAGATGGGCTTAGTCAGATCAGCACAGTTACCCAGAGTGGCCCAACTAGGCCCTGTTCTTCTCAGACACCTGCATAGCCTAGTTCAGCCCAGCTCAGGTCAACTCTGTTCTGCCAAGACTCCCAGTGTAGCCCAGTTATCCCAGCCCAGCTCAGCTCAGTTCTTTACAGCTCACTTCATCCTTGCTCTTCTAGCAGGGCTCAGTTCAGTTTAGCCTGATGCAATGTAGATGAGGTCAGCCCAGTATACTCTAGCTCAGCCCAGCCCTGCTTGATCCTGCTCAGGCCAACTCAGCTCAGCTCCGCTTATCTCTGCTCAGCTCAGCCCAGCCCAGGCCTGTTGGTCCTGCTCAGCCAGCTGACTTCAGCCCAGCTCAGCTCAACCCTCTTGGTCCTGCTCAGTCTGTTTCAATTCATCTCAACAAAGCCCTGGTTTGGTCTTGCTCAGCCCTGCCCAGGCCAGCTCAGCTCAGCTCAGCCCAGCCCAGCCCTGTTGGTCCTGATCAGTGCAACTTAGCGTAGCCCAGCCCAGCCCAGCCTAGCCCAGCTCAGCCCTGCTCAGCCTTGCTTGGTTCTGCTTATCCCAGTCAGGTCAGCCCACCTCAGCCCTGATTGGACCAGCCCAGCTCAATGATCTTGGTTCTGCTCAGTCTAGCCCAGTTTAGCCCAGCTTAGCTCTGCTCAGCTCAGCCTAGCTCAGGCCTGCTTGGTTCTGCTTAGCCTAGATCAGCTCAGGCCTAGTCAGTCCTGCTTGGACCAGCTCAGACCTCTTGGTCCTGCTCAGTTCATCCCAGCCCTGCTTGGTTCTGCTTAGCCCAGCTCAGCTCAGTCCAGCTTACTGCTTTTGGTCCAGCTCAGCCCAGCTCTGTTTAGCTCTGCTCAGCTCAGCTCAGCTCAGCCCAGCCCTGTTGGTCCTGCTCAGCACAACTCAACTCAGCTTAGCTCTGCCCATCTCAGCCAAGATCAGTACAGCGCAGCTCAGCCCAGCTCAGCCTTGCTTGGTTCTGCTCAGTCCAACTCAGTTCAGCCCAGCTTAGCTCTGC